GTAGGGAAATGTTGAATGGATGTGGGGATAGGCAAGATACTCAGAATGAGCCTTCTCTTCCCCACAACCTTGGTACACTTTACTGTGGGTAATATTCTAGTCCTCGGGGTACTGAGAGTTAACTTTGGGATAAAAACAGCTATTGTCCTGATCTGGTGCTAGACATGAAGGCATGTGATACATTTCAAGTTATAAAAGTTATAAAACCATTCTTCTGTGTTGCTTTAAGAAACTGATCTTTGCTTCACACTGGCTCTCAGAGGTCCATCCCCTCAGATATCTCTGTTCCAAGATTCTAAACTTTTTTCCCACCCCAGCCTTTTTTCTATTCCAGTGTCTTATAAAGTGCCCCCAAATGTACCCCCTTCCTTTCTGCTCCTGAGTCATCCTTCTGTTTTCATTCCCTGGTTCTAACTGCTCTCTTCAGTCCTATTTCTTTTGATCTTATCCATCCATCTCTCTCTTTATCATCTGATTGACTTCCCATCTGGCTCTCTTATTTAAAAAAAAAAGAATCATATTGGTTAATGTTCTGGTTTTCTCTATATCAACTTGTCCCCAGCAGCGTAATGACATGGTTGGGCACTCAGGGCAGCTGCCACACACAGGAGTAGCAGTTACTTCTGGTTGCTACCACTGTCTCTGGCACAAATGCATGGTGGTGGCAGCAGCTGTTTTTTTCCACCTTCCTCCCCGACAAGTCAGCACTCAGGGCAGCTGCCCCAGTCATTCTGTCCTAGTTGTACCACTGTTTGTCTCTCATGCCCCTGAATAATATATTCCAGTCATGGCTTTGTCACACATTATATATTCTTTTGCAGTATTACCTGCTGATATACTGTCTTGATACATCCAGGTGATTAACTGAGGTTGATCTACTTTAAGACCTGCTTGCTCAGTTCACTTTCATTATGGCCACTTTTAATAACCCTGGCACAATTTTCATTGTTAAGTATTGGAATCTACAAAACTGTAAAGAGGAAGTTTTCACATGGATCTTCTACCAATAAGCTGTGTGGGGGTTTTTTCCCTTCACAAATCATTATCTACAGGTAATTGGAATGTTTGGGCATCAATATTCATTTCATTATGGTAGCGTCAAAGGTATCGGTTTGGGCTGATGCCTTATTGTATAACAGATATATAAGAAGTCACATTTGATTCCTATTGAACAAGCCATATATCCTTTTATTTATTTTTGAACCATAACCTTATCCAATAAGCTTCTGATTCCTTCGCCACTGTTTTAAAAGGGACTTTCTGTCTAGAGCAAATTAGAAAAATAAATCATCTTTAAAAAAAAAGTTCCTTTATCTAATCATTATCTCTTTTCCTTTTGCTATTATTTCAAATATCTGCATCTCATCTCCATAAGAACTTTTACCCACATAGTCTAGTTTTTCCTTTTCTGCATCTGCCCCTAAATTACAATCCTAGATTTCTCACATTGTAATCTGTTGGCATAGAAATAGGAACGTAGGACTCAAACAGGCCTCCCAGGCCATTGGGCATGTCCCTATGAACACCTACATGCAGTTTGCAGCACCTCAAAGCAGTTTGGGGTGCCACAAGCTGCACGTGATTCATGTGCCAGCATTTGCTGCACTACAGATTTGCAGCACAGCAGCTTTTTTTGATACCAGGAGATCCTGGTGTCAAAAAAAAGCCCAATGCTGAAAAAAGTGGCACAGCGCACACCACAGCAGCATGTGCTGCAGGAAACCAGAGCCAGCTTGGCACTGCTGCTGCTCCAGGAGACACCCAGGACCCCAGGTAAGGCTGCTGGGGCTAGCACAGGTGCTGGCCTCAGCCTCCCCTACCGCACCCAGATCTATTTGCCGCACTCTGGACCATGCATGCAGGGGGCATGCCAAGGGACAAATAGCATCAGTATAAATATGCATGTAGAAGGGCCTCCTGGGGCAGCAGTGGTGCTAAGCCAGCTGTCCAGGCTCTGGTTTCCTGTAGCGCACACTGCTGCTGCATGCACTGCATCACTTTTTTCAGTGGTGGGGTTTTTTTTACACCAGGATCTCCTGGTATCAAAAAAGGCTGCTGCACTACAAATTAGCAGTGCAGCAAATGCTTATACATATACCACATGTGGTTTGTGGCCCCTCAGACTTTTGAGGTGCTGCAAACCACATGTGCCACTCATGGGGATGCACCCAATAGCCTGGGAGGCCTCTTCAAGTCCTATGTTCCTATTTCTGTGGCAACAAATAACACACATTTGTGCCGCTGCTATTTGTCCTGTGAGAAAAACGTACCCCTGCATGTGCGTGCTTCTGGGGACATGCTCATTGAGTCGAGTCTGACCATGATGCCACAAATTCAGCTTTATGTGTGGAAATGGGCCTGAAATCCCTGAGTTTTAGAGCAGTTCAGAGCCAGAGAGGGACTTCCCTGTTTGAGCCACCTGCACTTCAGGAATAAGTAGGGACAGACTGTAGGCAAGAAATGATCAAATCTTTGTATAGTCTCACAATCTGAAAAAGTGCAAGCTAACAGTCTGCCAGGCATGGCTGGTGAACTCAGACTGTGGGGGTGGATGGAGTGGCACATTGGTGGGGGCGGGGGGTGTTGCAGCCTCCCTGCTCCTATCCAGAGTGCCCAGCCAGCTGCAATGCCTGCTCCCCACCCCGTGTGATGCTCCACCCGCCCCACCAGTCTGAGTTCACCAGCTGTGCCTGCAATCTGCCCATTTTAAGGTTTCATCAATGTTTGGAGGGTTTTCAGAATGTGAACATCTTTTCGTAGGATTTCCATTGTGATGTCATCAACGACTCAGGAAATCAGATCAGGGCTTCAGCAAGGTTTCTTAATCGTGGAGCACTGTTTTATCCCTTTTAACCCTTTTGTTTTCTTTCTTTGCTGGAAGAAGGAGCCTTCTCTAAGTGCAATGCTGTGTGCTCCAGCTGTTTGCCCAGAACTTCCACTCTTTTTGCAACATGTTGGTTCTTCCTCAGGGAGATTTTTCTCCACAAAAATAGCACATTTAGTTGTCACAAAGGGCTCATCTTTCATCTCTGCAGAGAGAGTTTTGTTAGCTGTTATAATTTGTTTTTCTCTGATATTTTGTAAACCTGTCTTCATGTGTGCTTTTTCCCTAAGATGCCAGCGATCAAAGAGAAGACATATATATTGGAAACCATATACCTTGTTCAGAAAGCTTCAATGGTTACTGTATACATGGAAAATGCGAATTCATTTATTCCACTCAGAAGGCTTCTTGCCGGTAAGTAAGAGAATATAAGTAGCATAGAATCTGCCTGTGTCAAAAAGGCATTCTAACATTCTGTGTGCCGAGTAAACAACAGTGGACTTTATACATAAGATAGCAAAAGCATTACTTCCCAATAGCCTGTTAATAGCCACACTGGCAGGGAAGATGCCTCCCTGTGCCAGAGGTTGTGCAGCACCACCCAACACCACCTTTGCACACACATTAGGAAGGAGTAGATCACTCCACCCAGTGCTGCTCTGCAGGCCAGTGTGACTCTGCCACTGAGCTTTTCGTAGCACCTGATATATCAGATGTCTGGGTGCTTTGTAGATGAATAGATGCTGATGTATTTATGGGGATGCAGGTAGGTGTCTGAGAAGGAAGCTGGGGCTTCCTGGGAAGTTCAGGTTTGTGAAGGTGGGTTGATACTCCCTTTCCTCACTGCTCTTTTTGTGTTAAAAGTCAGATAATGTGGTGTTACAAAGTAGAAGCATTTAATGACTCTCCAGGAGTGGAACAGAATGGAATGGATCCTACTTAGGTGCCCAGGTGCAGTAATGGGCCTCATAAGCAGAATAAACTGCAGCATCTAGTGGGTAAAGGTGAAGGGGTGAAATTTTTGTACTGTGCTTTTTCACTTCTGTGCACACCAGACTTGTACGTGTGGAAACTCTGATGTACGTAGGCAGTTCATATTTACATGCTTACATACAAATCTCGGTATCCTTTCCACAGAAATTTGTATGCTTGCAAGCCAAGTGTATACCAAGGTCTAAAATGTAGTCCTGGCTTTTAGGTAGTGAGCACTGATATCTCAAATAACTTATGAATGACTACATACAATCTGTCTGCTGCATCTTAGTTGCTACCACACATGACCAGCTGCATAGTGAAGGCAAAAAACTACCTTATTCCTTACACAGAGCCTAGGCAGACCTGCACAGTCCTCTGCTCTGAGGGTACCTGTTACCCAACTGGAATACAAAGAAAGGTAGCTATGGTTTCATAACTCTAACAGTGGGCCTGCTTGGTCAGTTGATGTGCTAGTAAATTGCGCCCCATCAAATGTGGCAGCCATGAGCATACATGGTCTCAATATGTTTGGGCTCTGAGCTGCTTCCTGCTCCTCCTGAGAAGGTGCAGCTCCATATCACCCCCAGTGAAAGGCTGCACCAGCCAGGCACTGTTATGTCCCTTGCTTCTTCTCTAATTAAAGAAATAATTTAGTGTTATTCACCTAGTAGTGAGAAGCACATTGGCATAATTTTGTTTTGATAAACCTCCATTGTTTGCCATTTACCATCTTACTTTCCATTAAGTACTTAAGAAATAGATTGTGTTGTTAATTGTGCTATCAGTTTATCATGTAATTAGAATTGAGTATTTCAACCCCTCCCCCAGTTCCACTCTTAAAAAAAGTATTTTGTTTGTCTTCAAAGTCTATCCTGACTCCAACCCCAGGAATTCTCAAAAATAATTTCCAACCATTTCAATATTTCTGGGAATGCATTCCAAGGTGACGCACTGAATCTGAATCATCATTAATTCCATATTTTAAGATGATCTAGGTATTCATTAACTATTTTTTCTTGTTTCTTCTGCATTCTTTCTTCTCCTAGTTTTAAAAATAATTCTTGTATTAAACCTACTATGGTTATTAGCTTCCTTAAAGGGCACATCTACATGTGCAGTTAGTGCACATGAATAAACTTTGGAGTTATTGCTCTGGAGCTTTTTGTTCCTGGAGGTGCCATTTGAACGTGCGCCCAGGAGCAATTAACTCCGGAGCAATCAGCTCTGGAGTTGATTCATGGACAGCACATGTGAAGTGAGGCTGCTCCAACACACTGCAGTTACAATTAATTGAGTCTGCTGGAGCGTGGTAATTACCCTGCTCCAGTAGACTCCAGCACCATATATTTCAGTCTCCACACTGAAAAATAGTCACAGGGGCACATTAACTAAAGCTCATTCGATGAGCTTTAGTTAAAGTGCACCCTTCCCCTTCTCAGTCCTGGCACACATATATAAACGTGTATTCATGCACAGCACATGGAGCCCAGTCGGAGCAGTCCCAGCTGGCAGGGGCCCTGGGATCAGCCTGCCAGCCGAGGGCTTCTCCGACTGGGTTCAGTGTATTGTGGAGGGGCTGGATGAGGCATGAGGGTGCTTCAGCGTGAGGCTAGCCCCCACACTGAAGCGCCCTTGTAACACAGCCAGTTGGGTCAGTGTCTACACATGCACTGCTGCCTGCTGCACAAAAAAAATACCACAGCACCTGGGTAGTACTTGTATTTACAAGTACTACCCTGCTGTGGACTTTATTAGTTTCCTGCACCCTAATAGGGGCACATATGTAGACACTGAGACATTTAGTGCGGAGCTAATTAATTAGCTCCACAGCAAACATCTCATGTAGATGTGCCCAAAGAAGACAAAAGCAAAGGAGCAAATAAGTCCTTA